GATGTTTTCAAAATGATGGCAACATATGTACAATTTGCTTGACACAATGGATGTATGTATAGAGTGTGATAAGAGCTGTAAGAGCCCCCAATCAAATGTTTTTTTAAAATAAATAGAAAATAAAACAAGGAAACAGAAGCAAACATTGCAGTTTGTGATACACAGGGCAGGGGGGAGGGAGGGCATGTCCAAGGGTGTGTGTGAAATGTACTGATGCTGCAAGTTTGTTGGAACAACATGGCCCACAGGACTGAATGACGCCAAAGACGCCGGCTGCCCGGTGCCACAGTTACGTGGGCACGAGGCCCAGCCTCAAAGCAGAGTCCCGGACGTGGTGTCAGTCCAGTGCCCCTGGGTGGGAAGTTCAGTTTGTAGAATGTTTTCGGTTTTCTGAATTTGCACATTCAACATCCATCTTACAGGGAGCTCTCTAAATGACCCTGAGCCTAACCTAGAAGGGCAAGCAGGGAGAAGTAGAAGTAGCCCAGGATCTTCAATATAAGAGAATGGGGGTGGGTGGGTGGGGGGGGAGAAATAGCCCTGAAGGTATTCTAAGGCAATCATAATTAAGACAGCATGTGAATGAAGAATGGGAGGGGGCAGGGTGGTGCTGGTTAAGTCTGAATGTGGGGGATCCAGGAAAGAGCCTGGAAAGCAGGGAGGCCTGGTGCCCCACAAAGATGCACAGAGACAGGCGGCTGCAGCTTTCTGTCACGGTCATCGGCAGACTGACACCCCTGGGCCCACCTGCCAGGAAAAGTGCCTTCATCAAGACCCCGAGTTCCCAAACTAAAGGTGCTCTTGACAACGCTTTGGGCAGCTAAGGTTGACTTGAGGTGAGGAGGGCCTGCCTGGATTTCTCCATCCCACCCTTCTGAATGTGAGGTGTCCCCCCCACCCCCGGGATCCGCTACAGAAGTACTGATTTGTGCTGATTTGACTTCAGCCAGCTGCCCGACCCTGCCAGGGTGGAATCGCATTTAGTACATGGACCGCATTACCTTTCGG